GGTTTTCTAAATGTCTAGCATGCCCATGTGCATATGCGTGGAAAATTTCAGCTTTGTAGCTTTGTAACTTTTTAAAATAAAAATTTATTTGGTTTTGAGCCGTTCTCGTGCAGTCGTCCCTTGTAAGAAAAAAATATCCATTTTTTGCCCTAATTGTTTTTAATTAGCTTTTAAGATATATATCATGTGCCTAGGCCCTAATTAGAAGGAAAAGTCCCAAACATGGGCCAAATCGGCGTATTTCGCAAAGTTAGGTATCGGACCTTCACCCTTGGTATGGCTTAAAAGAGCAGATAATAAGCAACTTTTCCTGGGCTAACTTTTTTCCTATGGGAGATTTTTGAGCTGGGTTTTTTTTCTAAATGTCTACCTTGCGAATGTGCATATGCGTGCAAAATTTCAGATTTGTAGCTTTATAACTTTTTAAAACAAAAATTTATTTGTATTTGAGCGCTTCTCGTGCAGTCGTCCCTTGGAAGAAAAAAATATCCATTTTTTGCCCTAATCGTTGTAATTAGCTTTTAAGTGATATACCATGTGCCTGGGCCCTAATTAGAAGGAAAAGTCCCAAATATGGGCCAAATCGGCGTATTTGGCAAAGTTAGGTATCGGACTTTCACCCTTGGTATGGCTTAAAAGAGCAGATAATAAGCAATTTTTCCTGGGCTAACTTTTTTCCAATGGGAGATTTTTGAGCTGGGTTTTTTTCTAAATGTCCAGCTTGCCCATGTGCATATGCGTGGAAAATTTCAGCTTTGTAGCTTTGTAACTATTTAAAATAAAAATTTATTTGGATTTGAGCGTTTCTCCTGCAGTCTTCCCTTGTAAGAAAAAAATATCCATTTTTTGCCCTAATTGTTTTTAATTAGCTTTTAAGTGATATACCATGTGCCTGGGCCCTAATTAGAAGGAAAAGTCCCAAACATGGGCCAAATCGGCGTATTTGGCAAAGTTAGGTATCGGACCTTCACACTTGGTATGGCTTAAAAGAGCAGATAATAAGCAACTTTTCCTGGGCTAACTTTTTTCCTATGGGAGGTTTTTTGAGCTGTTTTTTTTCTAAATGTCTAGCATGCCCATGTGCATATGCGTGCAAAATTTCAGCTTTGTAGCTTTGTAACTTTTTAAAATAAAAATTTATTTGTATTTATGCCGTTCTCGTGCAGTCGTCCCTTGTAAGAAAAAAATATCCATTTTTTGCCCTAATTGTTTTTAATTAGCTTTTAAGATATATATCATGTGCCTAGGCCCTAATTAAAAGGAAAAGTCCCAAACATGGGCCAAATCGGCGTATTTCGCAAAGTTAGGTATCGGACCTTCACCCTTGGTATGGCTTAAAAGAGCAGATAATAAGCAACTTTTCCTGGGTTAACTTTTTTCCTATGGGAGATTTTTGAGCTGTTTTTTTTTCTAAATGTCTAGCATGCCCATGTGCATATGCGTGCAAAATTTCAGATTTGTAGCTTTGTAACTTTTTAAAACAAAAATTTATTTGTATTTGAGCGCTTCTCGTGCAGTCGTCCCTTGGAAGAAAAAAATATCCATTTTTTGCCCTAATTGTTTTTAATTAGCTTTTAAGTGATATACCATGTGCCTGGGCCCCAATTAGAAGGAAAAGTCCCAAACATGGGCCAAATGGACGTATTTGTCAAAGTTAGGTATCGGACCTTCACCCTTGGTATGGCTTAAAATTGCCGATAATAAGCAA